TACATGTATGTGGGGGGGGGGGCTAGCTGAAGACCTGAGGAAGCAGCTGCAGGGAGGTGAAGTTACCCCGAGTATTGATCATGTGGTCGGCAGGTGAAGAATCAGTGACTCCATGAACAGAATTCGTCACCACTCACCTTATTTATTAAATAATTTCCATCTTTCTCTTCACTTCTGTCACTAAACAAACGTGAATTACTGAATGATGCATAATTAAACTGACAGTAGCAACAACGACCAGTGACCTGTAATGAGGAAGTCCACTAAGATAGTCGATTCATTGCTGAACCTATTAGCTTAGCTACGTTTTCATAGCCTAGCCTGTTAGCTTAGCTTCTCCCCTTAATTGGTTGTTGCCAATGTGGCTTCATTTGTTCGACACAAGTCAGTAACTGAAACTTTACACTGTTTTTTATTCTCTTGTACGACGATGATGCAGAGACGCTGCTGAGGTTGAATTTCATTGATGAGTGTAAATTCTAGTAATATCTTTGCGTTTGGCGAGAAGTCCTCAGAAATACGTGGAACCGTATTTTCCCACAATTCAATGCTATAATGAACCTTGAGCGTTGGCATCTGTTCCTGGAACACGGGCTCTGAGTCGCAGCCTCCTCGCCGCTGCTGTAATCTGCTGCTCACCGTCATGTGCACTGACAGTGAGGGGAATCAAACCAACATCTCCGTAGCCGCTGGTCCAGGCGTCCTCCGGGTCCTCGTCACATGACCCCTCCCTCCATCTTAGTCGTGCATCCCAGTTATCCCAGTCCAGTTTTTGTGATATCAAACACATGATTCTACTATTACTGCCTATAATGGATCAAATTAAATGATGGCTCGTTGTTAACACAGTGCAGCCACTGGTTGGAGGTCAGCATCGCTCCTATAGTGTAATCTGCCTTCCTGTGTTAATCTGTGGCCTCTGCCCCCCGTGGAATCCCCCAGTAATGAAATCAGTAATGAAGCAGGACTGCCATCGTGGATAATTACTGTCAACGCAGCTCAGGCTTCAAACCAGTGTCTGAAGAAACTTTCCATTAAACGTTCGGCCGATATTTTCCTCGGATTGACGGAGAATAATCTCAGATTAATAGTTCAACAAAACTAAGGAATCCTCAAATCACAGCATCAGGAAACAAACGTCCGTATTTCCGTCACTTCAACAACCAGAGAAACGACCGTCTCACTGTATGGTCCATCAAGTAGCTGCTCTGGAGCTTTTGATCAATACTACAGTGCAAATAGTACGTTATCAATAAACATGAAACCTCCTGACCTGCTTCACACACAAGTTCATGGAGAATTTAACACATTTAACTTTTTAATGTCAGAGGTTTTTGGTGAAGCCAGTTCCTCTGATGCTCCATGATGCTGGAAAAAGTGAGAGTTTAACTAGCTTAGCTTAGCTTAGCTTAGCATACAAGCTGTGTCCCAGGTCAGGGACTGCATCCTCAGGTGTGGCCCGTCGTAGACCGCGAAGTCTGAAAAGAAGGACGTGTTTGAAGGAGCCTTTAAAATGGGACAGTCTAGTGGAAGCAGCTAGCCTGGCTACTGGGTTAGCTTTTCACCATGTGGATCTCCAGAGTCAGAGTGAAGTTGTTCCCAGCTGTCCGGATCACAGACTCACAGCTGATCACAGTCTGAGACGATAAACGGGTTGTTTTCTAGACGGTGATGATTGTGTCTGAGGCCGAGGGTATTTTTGGTCTGTGTGAACACGCTGTTCTCTGAGACACTTCACTGCCTCCTCTCTGCAGCAGTGTTTCACCATCGCGGTGTTCTGACCACCACCTGAACCTCGCTGCCTTCTCTGTCCTTTAGATTAGAAGAAGTGTGGAGCTGATTAAAAGCTGTTAATGAAAAACGTGTGATTTCGCTCTGATCAGCTGTTGATGATGGAGCGCTGGGGAAGATGTGGGTTTGTAATGGTTGTAATTTGTCCAACTGAGACGCAGTGAGAGCTCTGACCAGCTGACTGACCTTCTCACAGTTCAAATTAGGATTGTGAGAAGAGCTGAGGCGTCGTGATTAATGAAGCTGCTTTTGATTGTTTAAATTTAGTCTCTGGAAATAAAATACACCAAATTATTTTTACCTCCGGTTTTTCATGAGTTGAAATAAAAGATCTAAGACTGTTTCTATAAACACAGAAGACACAGACCCCCCCCCCCTCCCCAGAAATGCACATCTGTAACTCCAGTCATGTGACATCCACAGTTCAGTGATGATTAATGTCCTTTTTCAAAATAAAAGATTTCGACCAGCCTGAGGCTCACCTATGTAATAATCCTGCTGTGTAATCAGCAGCTGGATCTGACACACCTGTCAGGTAACGGATGATGATCACTGACACGGATCTAAACACGTTTGAGAACAAAATTTGAGAGAAACAGTTTGTGTTTCTATATTTGTTCAGTGTGTAAACATGTAGGTAGTTAGGTTTTATTTATATTATTATTATTATAATATATAACCGTGTAGCCGTGTGTGATGTGTTTGAATTCACAGAGTCGTGTCAGATTAAACATGTTGCATTCAGTCCCTCACTGTGTCCGTGAACTTTGAACTCTAAAATGTTAGATTACATAACAGACTGTGGGCTGTTGATTTCCACTTTACTGAGCATTGAAGATGAGAAAGTCAGTACCTGGTCAGGTAATCATCTGTCATTATTATAATTGTTTTATTTAGACAGGGTACTTGTAGCTGTGTGTGTTCAGCCATGACTTGTTGATACATGTGATGTAGTTTCAGTGTGTCCTGCTGTCTGCTGGTGGGTTCACACTGAACTCTACCTGCTGGTTTCCTGTGGAATAAATGTAAAAACGCCTTTGAGGTGAGAGCGCCGGGTCGGATTCACACCTCAGACTGTGGAGGCGTTTTCTCTGTGGCCGCCCGTCTGGCAGCTGCCGTCGTCCTTCATGAATTAACCAAATGTTCCGTCAGAGGTCCGGCAGCTTCAGCCGCTCAGCCTGTGATGAATGGAGACGTCAGCCTTCACACTGAGCAGGAGAGGAAATAAACCTGTTGATGCAGAACAAACCAAAAGTAAAGGTTCACCCAAACCACTACACTAAACCCACCTAACCCTACTGCTCCTGGATGCAGTTTGATTTGTGTTGTTTATGTTGACCGGTCCTGGTTTTGAGTCTGATTTAAAACAGTCTAAAACACGACTCAAGAACACTCGTATGAAGCGGCTTTCAATTCTTGATTCTAATGCTTTTATCTTTGGTTTTATTCTCTCTGGGCTGCTCGATTGATCTCATTGTTTTAACACGTATTTGTAATTCTCCCTGTTGCTGTGCGGCATAGGATGTGCTGTTGCGCAGCGTCCGGTGATGCCTCAGTCAGCGGTTGCTAGGCGACAGCTCTCCTCCGAGCCAGCCCGCCCGTCGCCCCACGGCCAATCAGAGGCGGGATAATCCCGTTCAGACGCAGATTAACGACTCTTTGAAGTCGCTGCAGAAAGTGAGGGTGTTACCGCGGCGACACGGGGCTTCACTGATCTGAAACCTCCGACTGAATCAAAGCTGGATCAGTGTTCCTCACCAGAAACATCCAAACACGTCTCCAGACGACTGAAAGGAGATTCTGCCATTTAATCTGCTCTTAGTCTTCGTCTTCTGCCCTCAGCACATCCATGTCACATGGAACATGGATGCTTTTAACATGACATTAACATGCTGCTGTTGTTTATCCATGTTCATCATGGATCCATCAGCTGACTGATGAAGGGCTTTTTGTAAGTGATCACTTTTCCTGAGATCTTCAAAAGACAGTAAACCTTCATCACTGATGATGTGTGAATGCCTCCTGTAGACCACGAGGGAAGGATCAAAGGTCGACTTTCCTTTCACGGAAACTTGGTCAAACTCACATGAATCATTAAACACAGTGGAGTTATTGAAGTTAAATATTGTGTCTATAGTTTCTGTCTCGACTCTTTTACTGTTCTCAGATCAGTTCTGATGTTGCAGCATTAGACGTGTGGAAATGAAACGCTGTGAAACTCCAACTCTAAAAGATCTAAAATATAAAATATATGTGTGAAATATGAAAAGGTTAAATAACATAACTTAAACAGTTGAACTTCCTGCAGCGGATTGATCAATAAACTGATCCATGAACTGTTAAAAGCTCCTGTCAGAGTTATGTAACGTCACAGTTCAGGACCAGCGAGTCACTCACCTGTCAACATGAACCTCTCTCCTCCTGAAGCCAGAGAACAGGTGAGTCAGACTCAGCTCTGACACATCCAGATGTGAGGCTGCAGCTCGGCACAGACACACTGATGTGACAAGAGGGCGGGAAAATATTTAAAAACACATAACCCCTGGATACTCTAACCAACAGAACAAATTATTTACACCCTTTTTCATCTCTGATACTACAATACCCATGAGCCTCAGCAGCCGTCTCTCGGGAGGAGTGGCCTGTCAGAGCGGGCGTGAATTCAAAATGCTGCAGCTGAGAACAAAACATGGCAGAATTTGGAGGTTTCTTGCTGAAATGCACCTTGGGAAATATAGCTGATTTTTGTTCCTCCACGCTGGCGACAGTCAGAGCGGAGGCCATTTTGTTTTCTGGTCGTCCGTCCGCCCATCTCATTCTCGTGGACACGATATCTCAGTAACGCCTTGATGGAACTTCTTCAAACATTTACCAGGACTGAAGGATGAACTGAATAGATTTTGGGGGTCAAAGTTCAAGGTCACGGTGACCTCACGATAAGCAGTTTAGGCTTTGTGAACACAATATCTCCGAAACACCTTGAGGGAATTTCTTCAAACTGGGTAAAGACAGTCACCTGGACTCAAGGATGAACTGATTACAGTTTGGCGGCTAAAGGTCAAAGGTCAAAGTCAGGGTGACCTCAGAAAACACTTTTTAGCCATAACTCAAGACTTCACAGCAATTATGACACAACTTCACACAAATGTTTTTGTTGTTGTTGCTCTGTTTCTGACTGTTTCTTCTCTCTGTGTGTTTTCCTGTCACAGAAGTACAGGCACCACGATGAGGACTCGTCCCCCCAGGACCAGAGCTCCCCCCAGCTGACGGAGGAGACGGGGGGGCCGGAGCTGGTCCAGGTCGCGGAGAAGAACCTTTCCCAGATCGAGAATGTGCACGGATACGTCACCCACGCTCACATCTCACCTATGAAGGTAGGACGCAGAGTCGCTGTTGTTTTCCTCTCCCTCTGCGGTGACAGACTTTACTGGCCCGACACGTCAGTTTCCTGACTTTAGTATCTATTTATTGTTTCAGTAACCATGACAACACTGACTGAAAAGGGAAGTCTTTACTTAAGGGGTTGTGTGCGACCGGCCCGAGACTTTCTTAAAATGTGATGAATTTTAGTTTTCACTGGCATTAAAACTATTAATCACAGATCTGTTTGATAGTGAAACAGCCAGTAAAGTCAGACCTGCCTCTCTCTGTTCATCTCTATCTGTTCATCTCTATCTGTTCATCTCTCTCTGTTCATCTCTCTCTGTGCTTCTCTCTCTGTTCATCTCTCTCTGTTCATCTCTATCTGTTCATCTCTCTCTGTCCATCTCTATCTGTTCATCTCTCTCTGTTCATCTCTATCTGTTCATCTCTCTCTGTTCATCTCTCTCTGTTCATCTCTCTCTGTTCATCTCTATCTGTTCATCTCTATCTGTTCATCTCTATCTGTTCATCTCTCTCTGTTCATCTCTCTCTGTTCATCTCTCTCTGTTCATCTCTCTGTTCATCTCTCTCTGTTCATCTCTATCTGTTCATCTCTCTCTGTTCATCTCTATCTGTTCATCTGTCTCTGTTCATCTCTCTCTGTTCATCTCTATCTGTTTATCTCTGTTCATCTCTTTATGTCTGTGCTCATGTATATTTCACCAGTGAATATGTTTTTATACCATGACACATTCACACAGTCCAGAGTCAGAACTTCAATTTCCACACTCAATTTTCCTTTTCAAAATCACATTTTTATCCTGATGGAAATTATGAACACTGACACATTCATGTTGTATGTTGACACACACACACACACACACACACACACAGAGGAGGGAGGGAGGATGAGGGTTGTTGCTTGTCCATGTCATTGCCTACATGTGGTTCATTAAAACACTGCAGCTGCTCCGAAGCTCATACACATCTGTACCTGTTGTATCTCATACCTGTCTGCTGTCATGATGTCATCACACACACATCCACTCACCACGAGTCAAATTCCTCCAGTCCGCCTCCTGTTTGACCCCCCACCCGTCGGTCCCGGCAGGTAAACACCAGGTGAGCTGGCGTCAGTGTTCAGCAGGTCATTCATGGGGTTCACATAGATAGATAGATAGATAGATAGATAGATAGATAGATAGATACTTTATTTATCCCTTAGGGTAAATTTGTGTGTCCATTAGCTCATTGTTGATAACAATAAAAACAGTTTATAATAAATAAACAATAATAATTAGATGAGTCCACTTCCTTTGGCTGAGGTGTTGTACAGCCTGATGGCAGTGGGAACAAAGGATCTTCTGAACCTCTCTGTTCTGCAGCACAGTGAGATGAGATGTTCGCTTCTGTCACTGCTTCTCTGTCAGGACCTCGTAGACATTAATCAAACACTCCTTTGGTGACCCCTGACCTTTCCTGTAGCTCCACCTTCTGGACAAACTTCACATTTTTATCTCCTCTACTCTTCAGACTCAGGAAAATATGACATGAGTGTTAGGGCCACAATGAGGGAGAAAGATGATGAAATTACTTGAAATTATTGTAATTTTATCACTTTTCTTCTTCAAATATTCTGACTTTTTTTTTTTTTTTTAAATATCACAACTAAACAGGTGTACTGAGTCCAAACCCATTAAAATAATGGATCTGGTATCAGTGGGTAAATCAGTAAGTTAGTTGCTACGTACCTGATGACAGGTGTTGTCAGGTAAACCTGTCCTGGAGGTGAGGAGATGCATGTCGACAGCCCCTGGAAGAACAGCTGCTGTCTGCGGTCGCTGGTTGATGGAAAAACATTTGAACTCTGAACCTTTGAATCTTAACAAAGTGAGTTGTGTATAAAATGTGAGCAGCAACACTGAGGACTGAAGCACAGACGCTTCCTGTGTAGACGACACGCCGCCGTTCTCGTCACTGCTCATTGTTTGTGGTCGTGTAGATTTGTTCGTTCTTCCACAAACATCTGATCCTGTCGTCTCCCACCGTCGTACCTGTGACCTGCTGATTTGCCAGGTGGTCGTCAGGCGGTCGTCAGGTGGTCGTCAGGCGGTCGTCAGGCGGTCCATGTGTTTCTGAAACTTGGAGGCTCAACCTGGAGAATTTGGCGTCCCCTCAGTCACGTGACTTGATTCCCCTTCACGCCGTCCTCCATGCTGCTGCTGTGTCTGTCTGTCGCTGCTCAGACCACACTGTCACATCCAGCTGTTTGTGTGTCACATCCAGCTGTTTGTGTGTCACATCATCAGCTCAGTCTCTGGGTGTTTGTGCTGCTTGTTAAAGGAGCTCCGCCACTAATAACGCACTAATCAACCTGTGGAAACAGGAACATAATCACTCGTGTGTCTCCTCAGGAGCCCGAGAAAATTTTAAGTCTAAAACGTAGATGTCATCAAGTTGCATCATGGGAAATGTAGGATCTAGTGTGTTTGGAGTTCAACCAGGATCTCTGGACGTCTGCTGCTCAGATTTGGACTTTTTCTTTGAAACTTTCCTGTGAAAAATGAAAAACTAAATGAGTGAAGAGGTTTTTTTAAACTAAATAAATCATTTGACTTTGTTTTTAGCTTTGAGAAGCTGTGAGGAGCATTTGTCTTCATCTTTGATTTGATCCTACACACTGAAAAATGAATACCCTGTAAGAAAATCAGTGATAATTAACTGATAAAGATATGTTATATATTAGGTAATAATAAAATAATAAAAGGTTATAATAACATTATTTGACCCCAGGAGTCCTTTCAGACACGTAGAAGCTGAGGCGACTTTGAGTTGCTGAGTGAGGTGGACTCGTCTGAATCGCTTCACACGGAGCGGCAGCAGGAAGCGCTCGGTGGAGCTTTTCTGCCATCGTGTGGCGGCAGCATGGACTGACATCTGACTTCATATGAAATCATTTGGTCCAGTGCTCCTCACACCAGTTTTCTCTAAAACGTTTCATCTTAGTGTCTTCAGGTCAGAGGTCAAAGGAGGCGGAGGGTGGGAGGAGCAGCTTGTGTCGAGGTTTTGAGTTTGGAAGCAATAAAAATCCAATTATTTAACTATCTTACAAAGTGATCAAATCTGGGGTGAGATCATCTCACCTGTTTCTGACAGGTGTGTGACCTGTGATCTATCATCATAATAAAGACTAATAATAATAATAATAATAATAATAGACATAATGACCTTATTTTGTCTCTGATATATAATTGAATATCAACTCTCTGCTCTTCTATAAACATTTATATGATTCAAACAGACGTTTCTGTCCCTCAGTCTTTAACAAATGTCACTGTTTTATTTAATCTGTTCAGATCATGATATTTGTTGTTTAACATAAAGTGATGTAGTTATTGAAGAACAGGAACAAGTCTGTGGTGTTTGGAACATTTTATTGAGTTTGCTGAAAGTTTTATATATAAAGCAAATATAACATATAGTTAAAAAGTAGCAGCAGAACTGAGATGTGTTTTTTTTTGTGTTTGTTAGAAACAAACTGTTTCTCTTTTTTTCTACCTGTTACTTTCCCTGTGAACGTCCAGAGTTACAGGGAAGGAACAATAAATGAAATGAATTCATCCGACAACAGAAAACAGTGGAACTCTGGGAAACTAAAAACTGTAAACTTCCTGTTGTGTTCATGTGTCTGTCTGCTGTTTGAAAAACCAAACAGACAAAACACACAGTGATCAGATGTGTTATAGTTGAACAAATAAAGAATCAACAAAGTGTCTGAATAACACAAACAAATAGAAAATCATGTTCTAGCCACGACTGGTACGTCACTTATCAACAATAACATTTAACACAGAGACTCAAATGTGAGAAACTGAATTTAATATTTTAATTTGTCTTTAATGTTTGATCCTTTAAGTCTTTTATTTTCTTAATCAGATGCAACATTCAGCTGAGTAATTAAATAATATAATAAATAATAATCAGATCATCATTTCAGTCAAAAGTTCAGATCAGATGTGACAGTAAATTAAAAATCTTTCAGCTTTTTGACCGATGCTCAGAAAAAGTCATTTTATAAAGGAAATGATTTATTGAGAAAATGTTCGATAATGGAAATAATCATTAGTCGCAGCTTTATCCTCAATAAAACACTTGATATTTATACACCGACCTTGAAATAGACTAAACTTTTATACTGAAACATGAGGACCAGTCAAACCTGCACCAGTAACAACCAGTGTTTAACTGGTCAGGGTAACTAACCAGTGTGGTCCCAGCTCCTCAGCCATCAGCCGTCTGTCTGTGTCGTATCCATCAAGAGCAGCTCTGTCGTCCTCCCTCTCTCAGCCTCAACTCTCTGTCTTCACATTACTGACTCTCTCTCATGACTTTCTATTTTCTTCTGTCCCTTGATAAGTGCCCACAGCGACACATCACTCTGCCGCTCTGTCGGAGCCCCGCTCGGCTTTCCTAACAGGGAGCACGCTCATCATAATCTACTGTGGGTGATGTGCCGACTATTCATGAGTGCCTCACACAACCCCACGTCAGAAAACCACAACTGTCCCTTTAAAAGCTGCTGTGATGTTAAAGGATAATTGGGGTGATATCCTGTATTGTTCTGGTGCAGATCCAAAGCAGCGCTGAGTGTCTCCTGCTGTCCGGCGAAGCCATTGTTGTCCAGAAACTGTTAATGCACAATCACTCACTCCAGGAGCAAATGTGCCTTAATCCGCCGCTGAAAATAGTCCCAAACAAAAGCCTTCTCCTGTTCGTCTGATAAAAACGACAGTGATCAGCTGTTTCGGTAAATGACTGAACCCTATTAAAGAGTGAAGCTGTACATTTGTCTGACATGGTGTTGCTTTGGCTCTGCACATGAGGAAACATGTAGAATGATGTCAGACTGACGCTGTAAGTGTTTGTTGGTTGACGCTGCAGCGGCTCTTCACACGTTTGTATGAATATTCTTTCTAAGTGGAGGAGGTGATGACAGCATCAGTCGGTCTACACTTTAGTTCAGGCAGTCACCTACTAACTGAACTGATCATGAGATAAGATGTGTCAGGATCTGGGCGGTTTAACCTCTCAGAGACGCCATCTTTCCTCCCCCCTCCTCCCCCCTCCTGTATCCTGTAGGTAGCGTCTCTGGAGTGCATCTTTGACGGCTCTACAGCGTTAGGACAGCATCACCCGGAGCTCCCCTCCCCTACGTCCTCCACCCTCTACCCCCACGGAGAGGACAGCCCCGTCCCCTCCTGCTCCTCCAACCCCTACCCCCCGATCCAGGTAACGCCGCCCCCCTCCCCCCCTCCCATCCAGTATCACTTCAGTACAGATGTATTATTTATTCTTCACATCTCCATCAAATGTTCATCCATTTCAGAAGAGAGACGTTCATCTCCTCATCAATCTACTGCACTTACACTCAAAGAAATCCCACTGAGAAAATGTTCCGTGTCCAAGCTATATTTTCAAAATTGAGAAAGATGATTTCCACGCAGATATTTCAATTCCTGATATTCACTTATCATCACATCCAGGAAAACCAGATAACGGATCGTTTTGTCGTTTCTTTGTTTCCCTCTTTCTAAATGGTAATCAGGAAACCAGCTGTTTCCTGCTTTTGGTTTTGTCATTTGATGAAGTCCTACTGACTTGTAGCGCCACCATGAGGTTGACATTTGAGGCTTTGAGCGAAACGTCTCCAAAACTGTTGAATGGATTGCGATGATTGGTTGTGATTGGTTCAGAGGTTCATGTTCCCCTGTGGATGAACTGTAATAACTGTGGTGACTCTCTGACCGTCATCAGGTCCAACGCTTTGGTTTATGATCAAACACCTGCAGAACTAATGACGTTCCCATCAGCCTCAGCTGCTCTTTGAGTTTACTGCTAATTAGCTAAACGAAGATGGTATATTAACGTGCTAACTTTAGCATGTTGAGCATTTGACATGCTGTGAAGTGACTGTAGTTGTACAATAACTCGGAGCCGTGCAGTGTTTGGTCTACTTGGGAGTCAGAGTTAACATCAGACCAAACAGCAGCTGGACAACTGTTTGGTCAGTGAGCAGGAAGTCCACGCTGTCATTTCACCGGTACAGTCACCTGCTCTGGCGGCAAGGCTGTGGTGGAGAAATCTCCACATCCTGCTCTTCATTGTTTCCGCCACGTTTGATCTGCGGCAGCCGCCCGGCCCTGGACTGACGTCAGCAGGCAGTTATCTCCGCCACCGTATCGCAATGAATGGATCCTTACATCCCACAAAGACACTAACGGCTGGGAGGACGTACTGTACACTCCTTTTTTGTATTATTCCTTTCATTTTTTTTCATCTCTTCCTCCGCCTTTCGCTTGCTCTCCTCGGCAGCACCATGGCAACACAGGAGATGAATGCCGACAAAGAAAATCCTGACGGCAGGAAAATGGAGGAGGAGGAGGGGGTTGAACCTGCAGAGAAGGACAAGGACAGATTTAGTGAGGCTTTCTGTAACAGGGTTGGGGGAGTTGTAGTTTGGGGGGGGGGGGTGATAGTAAAATGCAGAGTAGCTGGCCTTCTGTTCGTCCCCAACAGAAAGATTTACAGCAGCTCTGATGTATATTTAGCACCAAGACAAAGGATTCAGAGGCCATGAAATGACTTGTCACTAATGTTTCTTCTCCATCGTCTCATCTCTGCTGCTACACTTCATTCCCAAATGCGACAAAGGATGATGGGAGGGCAGGCCGACTCTATTTATAGCCAGTCAGTCATGGAATATCAAGGAAATCATGGAATGTCAGGAGGCGTATTCCAGGCAGGGAAGATCAGGGAAATTTAGAATCAGCAGGACGTGGTTTCTTGTTTCGTACATTGACTTTTCAGACGATGCACATTTCCAGAAGAGTAACACAGCTCAACAACATTACATTGGCCCATATTAAAGAGGAAAGAACCTATTGTCAGTCCAAGTCGGGCTGTGCCATGTGACCAAAATCTCATATTCTGATCCAGCTCATTTCATATCCAGATAACAATACGTATCATGATGTAAATTCAATGAATGCATCGCATGTTAGTTTGGCATTTTGTACCTCAGGTCAAGTGTTTGAACCAACTCACTAAACCCCCGTGTAACTGTGTAAATTGGAGCCACATCTTTGCAGATGTAAATTGCATCTTCTGGATTCTTTACCATACATGGTTCCACGGGCAAAAGCCTCTTGTGGCGTCTGAGTCCGGGGTTTGTTTTGAGCACTCGACTGTACTTTTGTGGATCTCATCCGGAGACTCTCTCCTACTGTTTGACATCAGTCTTGCGTAGTTCGTAAAAGAGGTGAGATGAAATGATTATCTTTAGCTTTTAGCATTTTACTGACTGTGTTTTTGTGATCATAATTTTCTGTGACACTGGTCATACTGAACAGATACTTTGGTCTCTGAATCACAGGAGTTGAGCCTACTTGTGATAAATGCATGAACCGGGCTCCAGGCTACCAGCTTTCTCTGTTGGTCACACCCTGTAATTTTTTCTTACAGCATGGCATTTATCAGTGATGAATAGTTGTCTTAATTTGCATACTGTCCATTGATATAAGGATTGACGGTGAGACTTTGGGGTAAACTGAAGGCAAAGTTTGTGTCTCTGCTCTTTTGGAGGAAATCCAGTTTTGCTTCATTCATTAATTGATTTCAGAGAAGCAGTTTTGTAAGGGAGTAAATGAGGCTCAGGTGCTCGGGATCAACAGCTATATAGAACTGGGTGTCATCTGCATAGTGATGTAAATCAGTGCTTTTCCTTGGGACTGTGACCCGAGCTGGCGACATATAAGCAGAGGACCCAGGAGAGAGCCCTGTGGAACCTCATGGATTTTCAGTATTTGTGACAGTGTTTTGGAATGAATGGCTTCTTTAAACTAACTCTGCTCTCAGCTTCATGTTAGAAACAAACAAGCACAAAAATATCCACAGAGTTTGGACAGGCTCAACCTGAACATCAAAGGGCGAGAACTTCCTGGAAATTTATCACACACCTTTGTTAATGTATGAAAACAAGACCGCCCACTCTGTGGACCGCACACCGATCTTACTCAGAGTTACTCAGAGATGAAACACGAGAATCTTTTAAAGCAACTTCCAACTCTCTTGTCGTAGCTGATACCAATCTATGGATGAACTATGACATGAAGACTTACACGTATAAATACCTGTAAGTTTCATTTTTTGAAGGCAATTAGAAGCACTGCAAAAAAACAAAAACAAATATATATATAAATAAAATAACTTAAAAAAAAAATGTAACCCAGTTCAGCCTGAACTACATCGAGCACAAGCTCATGTGTTGTTTACATTTTTATCAGGAATTAAATGGTATTATATTTGTTTTTTTAATTACTTTTTAAATTCTTATATTTTTAATGTTTTTTTTTTTTTTTTTTTTTTAACATATTTTATGTTTTAAATTAATTTAATTTGCCTCCAGAACTGCGTACTACAGAAACGTAATGCATTAACTTGAGAAAAACTAATTCTGCTCTGTTTTTCTGAATTAAAAAGATCATTATTTCAGAATTATGTTAATTAAAAAAAAAAATCTTAGTCAAGTAAAGTAAAAGTTTTCTTTAAAAAAAAAAAAAATCTTATGTTTTTCTGAATTAACAAGATTATTTTCTCTTCTGAGATAATTGTTTTGTTAATTCAAAATAACCAACATGCAGCAGAATGTTGTTTTCTTAAGTGACTGCATTAGGCTTCCGTAGCGTACAGAGTTTGAACTAACTGCTAAAGTCACCACTGACTAACAGCAGCTTCCTACATGAAGTTCCTCTGACTCCGATCAGCCGGCGTGACTCGACACATCACCACGCTGTCCGTCACAGCCGTGATCACTCAGCAGTTTTCTGGTGCGAGTTTCCCCTGCTGACTCATTTTTAGAAAGGGACTCAAAGTCTGAGGACTGAAGTAGGACAGAGGTCAGCTGGACCCCCCCCCCCCTTCCCCCCCGGGGCTGAGAACCAGAAGGGAGGAGGGGGAGGAAGAGGAGGAGGAGGAGGAGGAAGGAGCTGCAGAGAGAAGACATCAGAGGACTAACTTCCTCCCTGTCTGCTCTCTCTTTAAACACTGTCTCTGTCGTCTCTCCGTCCTTGTCAGCGCTGCAGTCTGCTGTTCGCTGTCTGCTTCAGACAGACGGAGGCTGGACGACCGGCTGCTCTCTCTCCGCCTGCTAAGCGATGCTCTCTCACCCCGGCAGGTTAATCCGCTCCCCCCGAGGCTCCTCTCTCTTTTTCCAGTCAAGTCTGGCGTGTAACGACTGCCGTTCACCGGCTCACGTCTCCCGCCGCTGCTGCTCGTGAACTAAACGGAGGAGGACGATCTCGGCGTGTGTCGGCTCCTCCGTCAGCTCCTCTGCAGCCTCCCTGTTTGTGTCTGTGAGGAAGAGGAGAAAGAGGAAGGAGGAGAGGGGGGGGGGGACACAAGGTGGAGTGAAGCCCCCCTCCCATCGTCTGCTCTCCAGCCAGCACCACCTCTGCCACCCCGCAGCCTGCTGCAGGAGCGAGAGGAGGCGCAGAGGAGGCGACACACCACCTCCACCTTCACAGCAGCAGCAGCAGCAGCAGCAGCAGCAGCAGCAGCAGCAGCAGCAGCATGCTCAACTCTGTGTGGTACGCCAAAAAGATGGGCCGCCGCATCATGGGCACCCTGAGGAGAACCAAGCGGCTCCACCGGCGCCTACTGGTAGGTCACCCCCCCTCCACCCCCCACCCTCCCATTCATAAAAAGAAAAAATCCTCCTAAAGGTGAGGACGTAGGGGGAGGTGCTGCACCGCTGCTCTGTGTAGTGACTCATTTTCTCCAGCGTGTACATTTCATCATGCTCAGCTCTGACCGCTGTGTGTTGTTGTAAATGTTTCGATCGGTGTGACGCTGCTGGATGAGGCAGATGTGGAAAAGTTGCAACAGGAGATCTGCTGCTGCTGCTGCTGCTGCTGCTACTGCTGCTGCTGCTGCTGCTGCGTCATGTGCTGGATCAGGATTCATGCAGAACCCTGCACATCTGGTCCAGTCCTCCACCGCAGGTCTCCAGACCCTCATCCACTGTCCCATCCTGAAGCAGTGTGGTGTCAGCGCCATCATCAGATACATGAGTGGAAGCATGAGGAGTGTGTGTGTGTGTGTGTGTGTGTGTGTGTGTGTGGGTGGGAGATCTGAGGTGATTTGTTGATAAGGCTGCAGCAGCAGCTGTGAGCAGGTTATTACGTCGGAGCTAAATGTGTCGGAGCTCGCCGCCGTCTAAACGTGAGATCACT